TTTGGCTCAGCGGTTAGAGCATCAGCCTGCGGTCCCGAGAGACCCGGGTTCGGTTCCCGCTAAGGGCATGTACCTCGGTTGCAGTTTGTCCTCCGCCCTGATTGGGTCATGTGGGTGGCAGCCACTTGATGTGTACCTTTTACGTCAATGTTTCTTTCTCTCTCTTCCTCTCTCTCCTTCCCGCTCTAACTGAACAAAAAATGAAAAAAATGTCAAGTGAGGATTAAAAAAAAAAATTTATTTTAACAAGATATTTTTATTTTTTCCACCTGCCCTCAACAGCATGGTTACAATGTTATTCAATGAGGCACTACTGGGAGTGTCTCACAGGTTACAAAACCTGTCTTGGTTACAAAACCTGGTCTTTTCCTTTACACTGATGGCTGCCAATAAGGAAAGGGGGTTTTTGAAACATGTCAAAAATCTCCCCTGAGCCCTGGCTGGTTTGGCTCAGCAGCTGGAGCTTCAGCCTGCAGACCGGAGAGTCCCAGGTTTGGTTCCTGCTAGGGGCACGTACCAAAAAAAAAAAAATTTCACCTCTGAGATGGATTCATTTTAATACAATTTAGTACTTACATGATTCATTTTTTTTAATCTTTTATTTATTTATTTATTTTTTAATCTTTATTGTTGGATGTAAAATGTATTACAGATGTTCCATACATGATTCATTTTACTGTTACCTTCTGTCTTAATGCAGGTGTGAGGCTGCATTTCTTTTATAAGATAGAAACCATGTCTGCACATGAAGAAAATTTAAATACTGGCTGACAAACCAAAAGTTAATTATCATTTCAAACGTGGTATAAGACAAGAGAAAATTTAGGATGCAGACCCCTAGCGTGGAAGGATTAATAAAACAAACTCATAAATGTAACTGTTTCAAGAACTATTTACAATGTATCTGACTTCACATAGATACATTTCCTTAACATATTTTGTTTTATTAATCACAATTTCCTTACTTAGATAACTTCAAAAACCCTCATATTCTATTGAAATTGACCTTTCAATTTACAACAGGGATTAATTCATTTCTAGCTATTTGATTTGGGAAGAAATAGAAAAGCAAATTCAGATGTTCAAGGATGCCCCTAAAAAGTGTACAGAAATAGTTATAGCTATCAGTTTTTCCTAAAATAAGGACAACTTCAAATTATTAAATGAGTTAGAGCAGTGAAATGTAAACTAATGCACTGACCTTCTTCCAGAGTCTTCCTCTGTCCAAGACTCCTAAGTCAGACAGAAGCCATTTTTCAGACAGCCAGACAATTCTCTTACACTAAATTTTAGGTTTCTAGTAATGATAATTGTATTCAGTGTAATTTTTAAGAATGTCTCTTTCCAAAACCATGTAACTGGCCACAAAATAGTTCTGGGTGAGGCTTACTAATTACTGATGAATTTATGAAATTCAAAATACTTCACAATGCCCTGGCCGGTTTGGCTCAGCGGTTAGAGCGTCGGCCTGCGGTCCAGAGAGACCCGGGTTCGGTTCCCGCTAGGGGCGTGTACCTCGGTTGCAGTTTGTCCCTGGCCCTGGTCAGTTGGTGGGTGGCAGCCACTCGATGTGTTCCTTTCACATCGATGTTTCTCTCTCTCTCTCTGTTCCTCTCTCTCCCTCCCACTCTACCTGAACAAAAGATGAAAAAATGTCCTCGGGTGAGGATTAAAAAAAAAAAAAAAATACTTCACAGTAATTAAGGCTCCCCATTAAGTAGTGGGGGAAATCCAGCTTTCTCATTCAGTTCTTTCCTCCAAGCTAGAATGAGGATTCAATCTCAAACTGATGTTCCAAACTATAAAATAATTAAATGCCTGACTTCCAAATATCTCTAGGAGTTGAGTTGACATAATATAAATACAACAGCTAATAGTAATTTAAGATTGATTTATGTTAAAGAATTGCATGTCTACCATGGGTTAATTTAATAATGTGAACTTTGAAATAAGCTTTAAAAAAAAAAAAAAAACTTGCCTGGCTGGTGTGGCTCAGTGGTTGAGCATCGACCCATGCACCAAGAGGTCACTGGTTTGATTCCCAGTCAGGACACATGCCCAGGTTGTAGGCCTGATCCCCAGTGGGGGCATGCAGGAGGCAGCCAATTAATGTTCTCTCTCATCGGTGTTTCTCTCTCCCTCACTCTTTCTCTCTCTCTAACATCAATAAAGAAAATAAATTTAAAAAATAAAAATCTTAGGCCCTGGCCGGTTTGGCTCAGGGGTAGAGCGTCGGCCTGCGGTCCGGAGAGACCCGGGTTCGGTTCCTGCTAAGGGCATGTACTTCGGTTGCAGTTTGTCCCCGGCCCTGGTTGGTCGTGCGGGTGGCAGCCACTCCATGTGTCCCTTCACGTCAGTGTTTCTCTCAGTCTCTCTCTCTTCCTCTCTCTCCCTCCCACTCTATCTGTACAAAAAATGGAAAAATATCCTCGGGTGAGGATAAAAAAAAATAAATAATAATAATAATAAAATAAAAATCTTAGGTTTAAAATCATAGGATTCTACAGTACCTGACGCTAGTGGGTTGTAATTCTCACTAGTACTTTAAAAACTGAAATCTCTTGGTCACATAATCCAATGAGAAATCAAATGCTTCAAAGGCAAAAATCTTTTTTTTTTTTTTGCCTTTTTTTGTTTTTTGTTCAGATACAGTGGAAGGAAGAGAGAGGAAGAGAGAGAGAGAGAAACATCGACGTGAAAGGGACACATCGAGTGATTGCCACCACACGACCCATCCAGGGCCGGGGACAAACTGCAACCGAGAAACACGCCCTTAGTGGGAACCGAACCCGGGTCTCTCTGAACCGCAGGCCAGTGCTCTAATTGCTGAGCCAAACCAGCCAGGGCCAAAGGCAAAAATCTTAAGAGGCACTACATTTCATTTCATAATTTATTTCTCCATCTCCCCCCCCAAAAAAGCCATCACCTATGTATTCATGGAACACTATTACTAGTGCAACATGGTCCAGAAAAACCATAATACCAGTGATGCTATAGCATTTATCCACATGTCAACAAAAGCTTTGAAGTATAAAATCTATACAGTAGTCCCCCATTCCAAGACCTCCCCCCATGGATCCCTGAAACTGCAGACAGTACCAAACCCTACATATATTGTTTTTTTTCCTGTACATACATACCTATGATCAAGTTTAATTTATAAATTAGACACAGTGAGAGATTAATAACAATATAGAATCATAATAATATCCTGAATAAGTTATATAAATCTCTCTCTCTCTCTAACAAAATGTAGCAGGTAGTGTATACACTACAGGTAGGCTGGATAAAGGGATAAAGTCACATCCTGGGTGGACAAAGCAAGATTTCATCACAGTATACAATTTAAAATTTATGAATTCTTTATTTCTGAAATTTTCTACTTAATATTTTTCAGCCATGGTCGACCACAGATAACTGAAACCATGCCATGCAAAACCACAGATAAGGGGGTACGACTGTAGTAGACTCTGATAGTGGGCCGTACATTCAACTTGTGCTTTAAACAGTTTCGATTTAGCACGATGTTGTTTCAATTTTCATTTAAGATGAGTATGACTCAAGAAGTATGTGCTTCTATGTTTCTGTATATATTTCACAAGGATGACTTCTTGAGCTCTAACCTATAGAACTTAGGATGGGACTAAACTGCAGCTGCGAATAAATGGTGCAGTAAATCAGAGACTACTTTACATTCAGATATTAAATTCAAAATGTGCATTCTGGTTCTTAAATTCCAGGTTTGAGAAGAAATGCCAACAGTAATAAAAATAAAATTTCTTGTAAGCAGCTAAGCTTCCTCAAAAGTGTTGAAACAAAGACTTGACTTTAAATAAAATCTTATAAACACACTTTTTAAGGCTTAGAATGAAATTACGTCAGTCACTCCACCAGAATGCAACTACACTTATTTGCAAAGTTGCTCTGAAGCTGCTCCAAACTAAAGTGCATTGAAAAAGAGAGACCCTGTATGAAGTAAGCCCGGTGTATAAAAATGCTTGTTTCATATAGGCCCCCAAGTAAAAAAAAAAAAAAAAAAAAAAAAGTTACATCTCATGATTAGTATTTCTTCTGCAAGAATAATATCAAGGTACACCAACACACACAAATGGAGAGACAAACATTACAGACGTCAGGGAGCCTATCTTCACAAGCTTGAGTTATTAACTGAGGCTGTTATGAAATTTAGATGAGTTAAGATATAGGCACGGCGCTTAGCACAATTTCTTGGCTCATAGTAAACACTCAATAATCATTGACAAGTATACATTAGCTAACTACAAAAGCAGTTTCAAACACTGCCTACAACTAACCACAAATTCCTTTTCAGGCCCTACTTCTACGGACTGTGCAAATATCAAATTAATGCATAAAACACACTTTTTAAACTACCCATTTGAAGACCAAAAAGGCATTACACAAACTGCTTTAAAAACTGCATTGGACTGCCAGGTACACAAATTCACAACCTGATTTAAAATCTAGAAATCTAGTTAGCATTCTCATTAGGACCAGAGCCAATTAAATCAGGGACAGTTAAAGGTCAAAGGCGTCCAAACCCGGAGCGATTTTCCCCCTTACACTACACGGCCCCTGCATCCCACAGGAACAGTGGACTTAACCAAAAAGGCAGGCGCAGCCGAATTGCGGATGAGGACAAGCCAGATTAGACATCGCCCTAGACTCTAGGGCCTAGAGGATTTCTTCCAGTAATAAAGACGCTTCTACCTTGGGTCATGGAACTCACTGGGGACCTGAGATCTCAAAAGTTCTCGCCCCACACCCCCACCCCAACCGCGAGAGCGCCGCCCTCGGCCCGGACCTCCGCCCCGCGTGCGTGCCCGCAGTGAAGAGGCGAGTCCGAGCGCACGCGGTTCCCTCGGGGCCGCCTCTCCCCCTTCCGCTCACCCGCCCACTAGGCCCTGGACCCGGGAAGATGCCCCCCCCCCCCAGCCCCGGACCTCCACCCTGGCCCCCGCAGCATCAGCCCCGCAGGATACTGAACACAGTCCGCTCCCAGGGCTCCAGCATGTAGAGCGCCGTGACCAGCAAGTACTGGTAGTAGAACCAGGACATCTGTTTCCAGGCCCGCGCTAGCGCCATCGCCTCCGTGTGTCTTCTGCGTTGCAGCCCAATGTGGGTCTGTCCCAGGCCTCCGGTTTGCGTCCTAAAGCCCGGGGCTGGAGGCCGGCCTGCCCGCCACCCCGCGCCCATTGGCCTGCGCGCCCCGCGCGTCACCCATGGGCACGCCCAGCCCCGCGCGCGCCCGGGGAGCCCGCCACGAGCCCCGCCTGGCCAGCGACCATTGGCCAGGCTGCAGCCTTGCGTCTGCCCGCCACTTCCCACTTCCCCTCCCCGCCTCTTCCCCACTTCCCCTCCCGGGGCCGCGCCCACGCTAGAGGACTGTCCCCGCGAGAGTGCCCGCGCCCCCTGCCCCGCCCCGCCACGTCTGGCCGTTGGTGGGCGGGACATTAGTGCTGGCTGCGGTCCACCCAGTCCCGCCCAGAAATGCTCTCCTAGAAAGTATTTGTGGAATATCTGGGGTGCCTCAGGCATCCTAGTGGCAGGGGAATCACAGGGTAAACGGGAACGTTTTAGGTTCCTATCCTCGTGCAGTTTACGATCTGTTGGGGAAGACAGGTTTTAATGATACGAATGCAAGTAAAACTGTAATGGGTGTAAAGGGAGAGAATAAGGTGCTCAGTGACGGTGGGGAGGCGAATGTCACCTAGTCAAGGAGGTCAGGAAAGGCATCTCTGAAGGGATGCACACTTTGCCTCCTTCCTCTCCGACTCACATCCCCATCTCCGAGTGCACCCGCGCGCGCAAGAATACACAAAAACTCACCCACATAAACTTACATATCACATGCACTCCTTAACCTCAAGACAAAATAAATTACCTTAACTATGTCTATCTGCCCACCTCACTTTGTGGCTATAGGTATCATGTGAGTCAGGTCTGGAGAAGGATACTGACCTGGTGGATTCTGCAGATGACAGGCTGCTTGAGATTTGTCTGTGGGCTGATAACTCCTGGAGATGCATTCTTGAGTGTTCAGATTATCCCACTGGCAACTAGGCCAGCAACATTGCACCCACCTTCAAGAATGAGATGCATGGTTAGCATGTGAAATGACACAACTAAATGGCCTGCTATTTAAATGTTAAAAGGTTTCTAGGTTAAATAGCCTACTGATTAAATTTTCAAACTATCATGTTTAATAATGTTTTATTTACTCATTTAGGGAAGAGAGACAAGTTAACTGATTACAGTGAGATGTGGTAAGGGGTATTTTTATGTTATGGGTAGCATGCCACAATAGCCCAGAGAAAATCAGATTGGAATTGTAAAAGGCTTATGGGAAATGGTGTTTAAACTGAACATTGAGCCCTGACAAGTTTTGCTCAGTGGTTAGAGTGTCAGCCTGCAGTTGGTAGGGTCTCGGGTTCGATTCCAGGTCAAGGGCACCTGCCTGAGTTGCAGGTTCAATCCTGGCCCTAGTCAGGGTCATGCCGGAGGCAACCAATCTATGCATCTGTCTCACATCAATGTTTTTCTCTCTATCCCTCCCTCCCTTCTACTCTATTTAAAAAAAAAAAAAAAAATCAATGGAAAAAATATATATGTGTCCTTGGGTGAGGATTAAATAAATAAACAAACAAACAAACTAACTAACTGAATATTGAAGGAAAAGTAAAAATGGCAGAATGAATGGGATTGGGGAGGAGAGGGGATGGGACAGATATTCCAAGTCCTGAGCCAGCCTGATGCATTTTAAAGGCTGGGAAAACTTCCTCATTCATGACTAAAGCAAAAAGAATGTGTGAGCAGTATCAAGAAATGGGGCTGGATAGTAAACCGGTACCATATCCTGAAGGTCCTTGTGTGAGGAGCTAAGGAACTTTTAACTTGATGTCCAAATGTTAAGAGAGCCAATGGCTTAATAAGATCTGCTCTTTGGACAAGACTTGGGGGTAGGCAATAGCCTGGAGGCTACTGAAGAAAAGAGGATCCTATTGCAGAGGTAGAACCTGTAAATGGGACATGTATAACCCCCACTCACTAGGGTCCTCCTTACTCTTGAGAGATCCAAATACACTTGGCCCTCCCACTTCTGAGTCTTCCTGTACCAAGCTCTACCCCTGTTTCTCACTGAGCTATCTCTGCTCAGATCTATTCAGACACAGGCAAGCTCTGTTCCTTTAGCTTCAAGAACTCCAAGTATCTTAGCACTTGATGATATTCAATTAAGTTTACCCAAGATTGGAAGCATCACCCATAACTACCCTGCTGTCACTGGGCCAGCTCCCCAAGTGCCATTCCTCCCTGCTGTACATAGCCCCCCGGTCCACTGCATCTCTTTGGGAGAGCAGTCCCTTTGAGCCCATCTATATCCCTCAGCTGCCCTGGGATTCTAGTGAACAAAAATCCATCTTGCTAGAGTTGACAACCAACTAGAAATGGGGCAAAGAAGCTGAAGTCTTGGATGGTGACAATATTCACAAAGAATCTAGAGAAGAAGTTTGGCTGAAAAAAATATGAATTCTGTTAGGACAAGGCTGAGGCACCTGAGGGACATTTAAGTGGAGGTGTCTAGGGACAGCTGGGCTTATGATATTGGTCCAGAATTTAGAAGTCTAAACAGGAGCTAAGGACGTGAATTTCCCATAAGCCCCTGATGATCGAGGTCTTGATTGCTGAGGAGGTCACAGGGAAAGCACACAGAGTGAAAAGGGCAGAGTACAGAATAAAGCCAGACACTCTGATATTTTGGGAATAAGAGTCCAAAGGGAGCCATTAAAAGGCACTCAGAAGGCGCTGAGATTTGATAGCGAAGAGGAGAGACATATGAGAGAAGCCAAGGGAGGAAGGGACGGACGGCCAGCAGATCAAATGGCTCAGGAAGGACAAGCAAAGGGGGAAAGGAAGTGCCAGTTTGTCTTGTCCACTTGGGGCTCAAGTGATGATTCATTCACTGTGGAGTGATGGGGCAGAAACCTAATTCGAGAGGGAAGGGGAAGTAAGGAAAGAAGAGAGCTCATCAAACTTACCTTTGCAGGAAGCTTGCCTTTGAAGGAAAAGAGAGGTAGGATGACAGCAAGGGTTTTTGTTTGGTTTTTCAGATGAGAAAGATGTGAGCAAGTTTATGGGCTTGGAGTGAAAATACAGGTAAAGATGGTAGGACAGGGGAGCAGATTTAAAGCCTTACTAAACACCCCTCCAAAATACACAAAGTCTGAATTCTACCTCAATTGAAATTATTTACTAAGGTTTTCCAACTTGCATGGAATTGAATCACACCTCTTCTTAGCCTTTCTGCAGCATTTGACACTGCTGAACATTTCCAGCTTCTAAAAAGTCTACATTGCCCAGCTGGTGTAGCTCAGTGGTTAGACATCAACCCATGCACCAAGAGGTCACCAGTTCAATTCTCTGTCAGGGCACATGCCCTGGTTGTGGGCCGAGTCCCCAGTGGGGGGTCATGCAGGAGGCAGCCAATCAATGTTCTCTCTCATCGATGTTTCTATGTCTCTCTCCCTTTCTCTTCCTCTCTAAAATCAATAAAATTAAATTTTTAAAAAATAACTATGCACACTGCAGTTCAGACATATACTTGGTTCAAATGAATCTTATACCCAAAACTCACTTTTCTTATTTCTGTTAATGGCAAAAAGTACCTTGATCCCCTGTCCAGAAACCTTATACCAATTTTAATTTTCTTCTCTCCTTCCTGCTTCTGATTTCTGTCCCTGAGTGATATGGAGTCATTCTTCAGAGTATCTCAGGTCTGCCTTCTGTGACAGAGTCTGCCATTTTGCGTGTTTGCGTACAACCTCCCTCCTATCAGGATAATGAGCTGGCTATTGTCACCCAAACTTGGCTTACCTGTTACCACTAGCTATTCCTGCTTGTTATTAATCCTGAAAACTTTCATCCTGGAAATATTTTTAGCAGTTGAGAAAAGAATGACAGGTTTTCAAGAAACGAGCCGATGTTGTTTGCCTCCTGAAAGTTTTCACTTAAGTCCTCTTTTCAGTTCAAATGACCCCGTAGCCTGGCCAGTGTGGGGGCTCGGTGGATTGTCCCAGAGACTGAGAGGTCCCCATTCGATTCCCAGTCAGGGGCACATGCCTGGGCTGTGGGCTCGATTCCCAGTAGGGGGTGTGCAGGAGGCAGCTGATCGATGATTCTTTCTCACATAGATGTTTCTATCTATCTCTCCCTTCCTCTCTCTCTAAAAAAATCAATAAAAACATATAAAAAATAAAAATAAAATGGCCCCGAAGTTGGTGCACCAGCCCCCTCCACTGCTGTGCGCTCTCAATATGCTGGCTGTGCTAGTGGCCCTCGGAGTCTACTGAGAAACATGTCCCTGTGTCCCATGGAAAGAATGTTATAATTGGTTTAAAATGTTATAATTGGTGCCTCCCTTTGCTGTGGAAGTGGTAAGACCAAACACCCGGAGCCAGCCCTTAAGGGGTTAATGGCTCAGCGCTGTGAACACACATACTGGCAAATGAAACATGGGATTATCCTACCCACTTGGTTTTCAGGATATTCCTGAACCAGTAGCCACAGTAACCTCCAGGTTCTAGGCCCAGCCCCTGCTGACAGAGCTGGTCAGGGCCCCTGGTGACCAAGCTGTTCTGGGAACAATGAGATCATTTGTGACTTGAAGGAGAAAAAGGTGAGAAGCATAGGCTCTGGGGACAGGAGGGGTGAGAGCTGGTTCCCAGGGTAGAGAAAGGGTGGTTTGGTGGTTTGGTGTGGAAAGGAAAAGGGTCAAGCAAGGCTAGTCAATTTGAGTATAAACTAAGGAAAACCCTCCAAACATATTGCACAGTAAATGCCTCGTTTTAAAAAAAGATAAGAGTGCATATTTTAATATAGCAAATACAGAGCCTGGCCTGTGTGGCTCACTCACTGATTGAGCATTAACCCATGCACCAAGAGGTCATGGGTTTGATTCCCAGTCAGGGCACATGCCCAGGTTGTGGGCCCTATCCCCCATGGGGGCATGCAGGAGGCAGCCCGTCGATGTTCTCTCTCATCAATGTTTCTATTTCTCTCTCCCTCTCCCTTCCTCTCTCTCTAAAATCAATAAAATATATATATATATTTTTTAAATAGTAATAATAATATAGCAAATACAGAATGCCACAATGAAGAAGCATTCATAATAGAATGACTATCAACATTTTCTTCATACATAATTTATTCAAATAGATTGTTACTGTGGAATAAAAAT